GTTAGTGTCCTCTGCACTTGTTACAGTTGGGCTTGGGTTCTGAGGTTGCATTTTGTTCCTTCTCGTCATTTTGTGTAGCACTGTCTTGTGACCTTTGTTGTAGATCTTTGCTGTAGTTATAACCTTCACATGTACTGAAGTTCAGGTGCAGCTCTACAAAATTTGGATTGATCCAACTGTGTCTGGCTTGGGTCTGGTGGCTGTGCTCAGCTCCTTCCCGCTGCTGCCCTTGAGGATGAACCTGTTGTGCCCCTGTGGCAAGATGTTCTGCTCCTGGACTAGCTGGGTGGAGCTATCCTCTACACTCTCTGCAGGGATTGCAGCTGCAGGGTTACACCCCAGGTGTGTATGGAAGGCCTGAGCTGTGCCTGGAGGGGGCAAGGTGAAGAAGGGGGAAGAGGAAGCTCTCCCACACACCCACAGGACCTGGGCTAGGATTGGGTCTGGGGGTTCCCGGAACATGGCAAAATTCCTACTCGGCAGGAGGGGTGGGGAGGTACGGCAGAGTGGTGTGGGGCAGCCCGAGGGGGTGGGAGAGGGTCCGGCCCTTGCTGCACCTGGGCTGGGACTGGTCCCGCTGGCGCAGGGTAGCAGGAAACTCTCCACACACTCACCGGACCTGGGCTAGGACTGGGTCTGGGGGCTCCCGGAACTCGGCAGAAAATCCTACTCCGCGGGCAGGGTGGGGGAGGCACTGCAGAGTGGTGGGGGGCGGCCCGAAGGGCTGGGAGAGGGTCTGGCCCACGCTGTGCCTGGGCTGGGACTGGTCCCGCCTGCGCAGGGTAGCAGGAAACTCTCTGCACACTCACCGGACCTGGGCTAGGACTGTATAAGGGGTTAATTTTTAAAAAAGTTTTAGGCATAAATTTTATTATCTCAGTTCAGCAGATGAAAAGATATAATAAATGGATGGAAACAAAGTTTGTTGGCTTTGGAGAAAAGTGGGAATTTTTAGACCAGTTTAAATTTAGACATTAACTAGATGTGACTATTTTTTGACACTAAAATGAGACTTTTGCCACAAAAGCAAAGCAATATATTTCCCAGGATTGCCCATATAACTTTTTAAATGTGTTTTGAATTTATATGTGTGTACTGGGGACTGCTATTGTGCTAAGCTATATCCTTGGCCCATTCATTCATTTATTTACTTATTTTGCACTGGGGTTGAACCAGGGTCTTTGCATTGAGCCATATCCAGGGCCCTTTAGTTTTTATCTTTAATTCTGAGACAAAATCGTGATAAGTTTCCCAGGCTGGATTTAAACTTGAGATCCTCCTGCCTCAGCCTCCAGGCATCTGGGATTACAGGCCTGTGCCACCGTACCCAACTTTTACTATTTCTTTAAATGTCAAGGTTTTTTTTTTTTTTTGATATTTAGTGTCAAAAAACTCTATTCAAAATACTAACTTCACATTAGAATTTAACATATATGCTATGTATGCTAAATCAATGGTCAATGTACCTTATGCTAAGTTCTGGTGGCTACCACCTTCCATTTACATGTGTGAGCGTCTTTTCATTAAATAGTCTTTCTCCAAGACTTACTGCAAAGGAGCTGAGGGCTGGGCTCAGGGTAGAATGCAAGTGAGAGCAGAGGTTTGCTATCTCAGTACTGGAAGAAAAAAAAAGAAGAGAAAGATATGTTGAGAAAAAAGTTATAAATGAAATATCTATGAAGTCTTCCCTTCTGCTGTGATGTTCCACTCTGTCATCTTACCCAGCATAGTCTGTCAACTGTGTGAGCCTCAGTGTTTTGCTTTCATCGAGTACAGCTGGCTGCAGTTCACAGAGCAACGGCTGGCTCCAGCCTCTCCACATCCTTAGCAGCAGCTATAACTGAGACAGGTCACTCTTCCATCCATACATTTTGACTAGTTTATTTTATTTTATTTTTTTTTTTATGTATTTAGTACAGAGTCTACAGGGTCTCACTATGCAGATCTGAGCTGTTGTGATCCTCCTGTTTTCAGCCTCCCAAGAGCTGGGATTACATGCGCACACCACCTTGCTCTGTCTCAATCGCTGACTCAGTGCACTCCAGGGGCCAGGCCAGCACCGCATGCTGGAAAGCAAACCCAGTCCCTGCGTCTGCCTAAGCAGGTGCTTTAATCCTCTGAGCTGTCATCTGGCTGGCCCTCTAGTTTTCCTCTTCTTATTATTAAGTTTATTGGTATATTTTAGATATACATAACGATCACATTCATTATAACGAATTTGTGCCAGTACAGGATAAAAGTTTTCCCCCCACACATTCCCTTTCCCTCCCTTCAACCCCTTTTCTCCTTATTTACAAAGCCTTTGTTTCCATTTTCCTGTCCTTTCTCCTTTTTTCCCCCCACTTTCCCTTTCCCTTTCTCCTCTGTAGTTCCCAAAATCTACAACACGTTTTGGTTCTTATTTACACTTTCAGTTTTTTACAACACAGAAGCAATTCAGTTTTTACACTCGTGTCTGATTTATTTCACTTAAGAGTGTGGTCTCAAGGTGCATCTATTTACCTAGTGTATTAGTTACTTTTCTCCCATTGCTGGGACAAATACCCAGCACTCACAATGAGGGAAGGAAAGGTTTATTTAGCTCACAGATATGGAGGTTTCAAGACACTGGAGGAGAGGCTGGGGCGCTGTGGGATCCAGGATGACCCTCTCCACCTCGCTGAGAAAGCACAGGCTAGTCAGTTTCACGGTTCACGCCTCTCTGGCGCTGCCTCTCAGGTCCCCCACTCTGGTCCCCTGGCCCCGCCCCTCAAGCCATGCACTGCCCCTCAAGCGGTGACCGCCCCATGATTTACAAGAGGCTTTGGGAGGACAACTAGATGCAAACTATAGCACCTAGAAATGTCTCAAATTTATTGTTCTTTATGGGTGAGTTGTATATAAAAAATCATTATATAAAAAAACCGTTCTCCACTGTTGGTTGGGAGTGCAGACTGGTACAACGACTGTGGAAATCAATGCAGAAATTCCTCAAAAAATTAGGACCAGAGGTTCCATTCCACCCAGCTACTCCCCTTCTTTGTATCTTCCCAAAAGAATTAAAAACATTTTAACTAGTTTTAGCTTCTTAAAGAGGTCTGCTTTTGCTTTTGCTTGCTTCATCAACTTTGCTTTTACTTCCTTTAATCCTTAAGAGTCTCATTCACGAAACCATTTTGGAGAACACCGTATGACCCAGCATCAAGTGACTCAGATTCACGCGCCTTGACATTCTTGAGAGTATTTTTTTCAATACTCTGTGTTCTTCAGATTCACTTTGTGTTTAAATCTTTCCCAAAATACCAAAGAGGTTTCTTCTGTGGAAGACGTTTGTTTCTCTGAAAAGATCTGACCTTTTTTTTTTTTTTTTTTTTTCATTTTCTATTTTAAGATGTTTTACCACACTACCGCAGGAATTAAATGAAGAGATTGTTTTCCTTATTCTTTCTCTGAGTGTTACACCTCTCATTCGTTCAGTGAACTATTTTGATGGGGAAATCACAAAGCCAGTGGAGAGCTGGGTTAAATCACACCTGAATGTGAATACCCTTCCGCCTCGTGGAGGAGACTTTGGTTTACTGTCCTCTACAGACCTGCAAAGTGCAGCTCAGACATCGCATGCTCCTGAACGGTGCCTCTCCAGAAGGCTCGCGAAGCCCTGCTAGGATTTGTGTTTAATTTTTCCATTTTGAGTTCCAGTTGAACAAACACTGAATTTTAAAAATATTAATTTGCTATAGCTTTTCAGTTTCACCTTCTCCTTCCGAGCAAGGAAGGGAAATCCTGGCTCTGTAATGTAATGTACATTCCGTAGAGTCAGTAAATTCAGGATAGCAAATGGGAAAGTACCTACCCTGGACTACAAACAGGCTGTGGAGGAAGGCACGATTGTGTCACACTTTGAGCCGAAACAGTTGGCTGCAAGTCTTAACACCATTTCACTTTGAGGAGGAAATCAGCCTGGGGTGACAGAGAGACTCCTTAGTATGCCAGTTTCTTTGCTCAGAAAGATAAACATCTCAAGCCATGAAAATACAAGTCACTGTCTTCCACCAACTCCAATTATATGAATGCACCATGATCCACTTCCTGCTGTTAGGAATCTGGGGTTATCATTGCATTGAAAGAGTCTTTTATATCTTCTCCATACAAATCCTTTATCAGATTATATATAT